CTTTAATAAATATATATATATATATCGTCCATATATATATAATATATATATATATATACCAACAGCAAATTTACCTAAACATTTTGGGAGATCACGTTCATCCAATGGCCAAGACTTTATAGATTAATGGTTTATGCATATAATTAAGACGATAATAAACCAATACATAATTATTGGTTAAGAATTGGTATGATTTTTATGAAAGTGAGCTAGAACACATATGTGGCCTCCCCAATTTTCAAGATATCAATATTATTGAACATTTTGATGAATTTTGGATTATTTAAAAAACACGTTAGGAGCCGCTATCCTCCACCGACGTGTTTAAAAAGCAGGAAAGTTTGTATTTTAATGGAAGAATGATAAAAAAAATTTAAATTCTGGATGAATTTCAGTAATGAAAATTTTATAATTATTCCATTCCTAGACATAATTAAAGCTGTTTTAAGGTCTAAAGGAGGACCAACTCTATATTAAATAAATTTTCTTTGAATTTAACAATATGTTCCAATTATTTTGTCCAACCAGGAATATAAATCAATTTAAATAAAAAAATATGATTTATATCGAGATAAATTCGGTCAGTATTTGATAAATTTTGGACAATTAAATGAAATTAGGGGTACAAAAAAATTGCGGCCAAATTTTACAAACCAGGAGACAGTTTCCTTGAGAAATTATAGAGATGGTAAAAGTTTCTAGGAAGATGGAATTATCAGCAAAAGACTTGGCAAAGTGATATATGCTCAACAGCAGAATATTTGTAAATGTAAAAAACATTTAAATCAGTTTAAAAAGCAAAAAGATGAAAATAATGATGTCATCACTTTTGAATTAATTACCATTTTAAATGACGAATTTGAAATGACCAGTGAATAATCTCCACCAGAAGATATAATTGTCCAAACCCGCCCGTGCCAGAAGTATCAGCTTTATGAAAACCGCTTGCCTCAAATCTCACCAGCAAAAAACTATTACATACAAGGATTAAAAAAAAAAAATAAAAGGTTATGTGTGACCCAAAAAAAATTATTTCGGAAAAAATTTCATGGGAAAATTATGAATGGGGGAGGTGTTATAATTAAATTTCCATTTCACAAATTATTACCTATTGTGGTTTGACTATGTCAGTATTATATAGTTTAGTTGCACAGAATATAAGTCTATCTTTTAAAATCAGGAAGGGTTAATCGAATACCTGTCTTTCAGTAGTATATTCTATTTTTACATTAAATCTCTCTTTTTTCCATCTACGCAAATGTTGCTTTTCCTTCGATTCGAGTACCACCTTTTGTCTGTTTGTAAACATTTATTTATACACAATAAGGATATATATATATATATATATATATATATATATATATATACAATAATGATTGATTTAGAGTTTGTTTTGGGTTTCACTTTAAAAAAAACGAAAAAAAAAGTGAAACTTCAATCACAAACTAAACATCATTATAAACAAAATAATTCATTTATAAATGAAATATTGAGCGCTTTATAATATTGTACATATATATATATATATATAAATAATTATATATATATATATATAAATAAAAGAAAGAACAGTAAGATATAAAATCCGGTGTTCTTATAGATATTTTTATTTTTACAAAATAGTGCTCAATGTAAATTTACAGAGCATTAATATTATAAATTAATTGATTTAAAAATATGTTTTTTTCGCTACACAGTTCAACCATGTTTCAAAAAATAGAAGCTAAAACCCCTGAATTTAATTTTGCAATTAAATTAAAAGCATTAGTTCCATTTCATCTTCAAGCGAATTTTGGAGTAACTTTTTAAAAATTACGGGTTTTAAAGACACAGCTAAAATCAATTTCCATGGTTACAGAATATTCTACTTAAATTGAACAAGGGATGTCTAGATTTTCCTTATGTCATATATCATTGTGAAAGTTATTAGCTTACACAATTTGGTAAAGGGTAGGGATGTATTTTTACAATGAAACCTGACATATATTGAAATGGATGTCGTTAATGAATTTTTTAAAAAAAAAAAATTATAATAAATTATATAATATATATATATATATATATATAAATTTAAAAATTATACATATATATATATATATTTTTATATATTTATATATTTTTTGAAACACACACACACACAATTTTATATATATATATATATATATATATATATATATATATATATATATATATATATATATATATACATAAAGAATTACGAAGTTTAAATAAATATTTGAAAATGTCGCCTTCAAATATTACTTCAAAAATCATTCGAATATATATTTATATATATATATATAAATTCTATATATGATAGGTTAATTTTTAATAATAAAACATAAAATCAATTTATTTTTTCACCAAAATCACATTACACACATATATGTTTATTATATAAATATATATATATATATATATATATATATATATATATATATATATTTATTAATATATATAAATATTTTCCTTTTATGGATAAAATATCCAATTTCAATTT